TTTAATTTCTCTGTTTTTTGTTTTGGCTGCAAGATAAGTGAATAAATATGTAGAGTTGAAAGTTGAAACAATATCAAATTACACTAAAAGCTTCTGCTACTAATAAGTTAGTGGTGTTTTCATTTTCTCCTTTTCCTCCTCTTTTTCTATTGGCTTTTCTTATACCCTTTACTTCAAAGGGATTGTGGAGTCTTTTCTACTTAGGATTCGTCTTACAAAAGGGGTCTCACTTAAAACACTTTCCACAAGTTTATATGAAGGAAAAATATTACCAATTTCAAAATCATGTTGTATTTTTTGTTTCATCGGTTGGATGATTGACACGTTTGTAATTGTAACATCATCATGGACATATGTCATTCATCTAATGGAATATAACGGGCTGGAATATGAATTTGATATAGAAAATCCCATCCCACGCGCAAGAAAGTGTATAATTCGAATAAATAATGCATAATGTTGAACGACTATTGTTCCTCAAGAAATTGAGCATTAGAATCTAATATTTTTTGTCTATTGTTCCTCAAGAAGTCCAAAGATTGGAGAATTCAACCCTACCGGTGTGGGCACGGGTCCGAGCAATACACACACACACACACCCATGTGGGTGTGTGTTGGTCCGAGGTTGCCCACATTAGTAAGATCCAGCCACAGAAAAAACTCAAACACATTGAAAAGAAANNAAAAGCAACTCAACTTTTTAAGAGTTTTTCCACTTTCTAAGATCCAGCTATGTTTTTGCTTGATTTGTCCCTACAAGTACATAAGTCATACAGACCAAAACATTTTCCTTCATAATATAGACCAACACACTCATGGAACAAACACCACAACGGAAAAAGGAATAAAAAGAGAGGAACACACCGAAGAAAAGAAGATCAATACATGTTCACATAGCTGCAATTTCCTTGTACTGCAAAAGTGACTATTATTCTAAAATGGTGTTAGTCTCGTGTGGGTTTGTAATAGCCCCTGCTAATGGCACTCATTATCACACAATAAATGTTAGTTTAGATCTACCTCATTTTTTACTAAAGTTCATTCCCGAAACAAACTCAATAACTAACCTGGACAATTTTAAACTGAGAGATGGTAGAATATTGTACCAACCCCACCTTTGCAATAATTGAAGAAGAAAATGGAAATTTCGCCATATTTGCACATTAGAAAAGCTTTATGCTAGTAGTTGAGAAAAGGAATAGCAAGAAAAAGGTTAAATCCTTCAAAACATCATCGAACTATTATCTACCGGCCATGATATGGTAAAATGCAGCAAATGCAAAATAGAATAGAATGCCAAAATTAGTCTAGTAATAAAAAAAATCTGGAACAGGGCATCTAATTTCATGTCCAGAGGGATGAAGCAAAACAGACATCAAGTCCAAAACAAAAGTTTTTACAGCCCACCTGTCTATCTCAACATTTTTCTTACGTATCAATACTACAAAAATTACATAAATACTTGCGTAACAAAGAGATACAGATCGCACACCAATTATAATTCCGAGTATGAAAACCGCAGCCTAACAGAAAAAAAAAAGACTATCTTTTGTTTCTTTTACACGGAATTCTCAGTAATGTAACTTATCTTCATCTTGTGCTTGGAACTAAATATCCCAAGAACTTATATTTGGTTGTAAAAGCCAATATCAGTTAGGCAAGCAGCCAGCATATCAGAAAAAAAGCTCATATTCATGCGAACAGCAACAAAAAAACATGTAGTTTTCACACTCCAATCACCAATGCTTGCACAAAACAGACTAAACTTCCGTTTCAGATTTCCATTAACAATATTGCGCATCTTTAAACCAAACTCAAAGTATTCTATCTTAACACAAAAAAAGAAAAACAACTATACAACACTACCATCTTAAACCAGTCTCATATCCAAAAAACCCAAAACTTCAATTCTCATTCATACACACATGTAGAGAATCATCACAAATTACCCAACCAAAACCTTAGCAAATAGCACCATCATAAAAAATATCCAAAAACTTGTGAGAAATATTCAAACAGAATCAGAATCAACCCACTTCCAAAAATGCTTCCTACACGAAACCGCACAATCTGCCACATTCCTTTCATCCGAGACCTCGTACTCATCTTCCTCCTCTGTGGAAAACTCGTTTTCCGGCAAGCCTTCCACCTCAGCCTCCACCGTGTGCAAAATATAGCAAGCGGGCAAACCAGGATAAGAAGCCGAAACCCTCTCCTCCACCCTCTTCACATACGAGTCCGGCAAGATTTTAACAGCCCCACCATCAGAAAAGTCCAAAGTTTCAAACTTTACTAAAGAGCCCAATTCTTCTTTCACGGCCCGAAAAACGGCAGCCTCGACCAACTCGCCGGGCTTCATTTTTTCAGATAAAGGGCGAGAACGGTACCTGACGACGCCGTTAGATAGCTCCTGATGAGATTCTATGAGTAATTTTCGACCGCCGTCTCGGATTATTCGAACGATGACGACCTCGACTGTCCTAACCGGAGGCAGGGAATCAGAGAGGACGGTTTCGCCCTCGGCGAGCTCGAGCCACAGGTTGTGGACGTTCTTGGTGCCGGGCTTGACGCCCCACGAGCCGAAGGAGTCGGCGGCCAGGCGCGGAGTGAGCCAATCGGAGAGGGATTGCGGCGTGGCGAACGGGGGAGGTAGGGTGGGGCGGCCGGGTTTTCTAGGGTTTCGGGGGGATGTGAAGGGGAAGGACATTTTGGGGAATTTGCGGGTGTTCGGAGGGAATTGGAGCTTGTTGGTGGTGGGGAGGGAGAAGATGGAGGTGGGTCTGTGGGAGGTGGAGAAGAGGACGAGGAAGGAGAAGGCGGTGAAGATGGCGTCGGGGAGTGACGTCGGCCTTTTCAGGTGGTGGTGCGGCGGCGGCGAGGGAACTGGTGGCTGGGGCGGTGGCAAGGTCGGCATGTCAGCTGGCGGCGGGCGGCGGTGATTTCGGAACCATTTTTTGTTTCTGATATTGATTTGAGGATTAAAAGGTACCTTTTTCTGTGCGTGTGATGAAATGAGAGGTTGCTATTGACCGTTTATTTGGGATCAGATATTGCAGATTACAGTGATATTTTGATGGTGGCTAGTGGCCACAGTGATTACTTATTTTGTGTTTATTAAGATTATTTTTAATAGTAAAAATGTACATAAAAATTGTTGATATTTTATATGAAATACATAAAATAAATAAGATACTTTTAGTTTATGATATAGATAAATTTGCAAAGAAACCACAAACGAGAGAAGGGACATACCGCAAATAATAAAAGTAAGAGTATTGAAGTTGTAGATTCAACATGGTACCATTATAAATGAAATATATAAAGTTTAATATTATATATATATAGCTGTGTGTGTAACAACTAACAAGACAATGCTTTTTAGGATATAGAGCTAACTTTACATATTTGGCAAAAAAAGCGAATTTTGCACATCCACCAATTGATGTAATAGAAAATTCATAGTTAACACCAATTGATGTAGTAGAAAATTCATAGTTAACTTTTAATACATAACGAATTATTTGGCAAATAGCGAAGATAGCGAATTGCATGTCCACCAATTAAAGTGGTGGGAAATTAAGAACACGATATATAACAAACTATTGTTGGGTTAAACATTCACCATCGTTGCGTTGAAACATTCACCAGTGGGTACTAAGCTATTTGTCATGTCTAAGATTAAATTATCACATAACTCTATTTAACATACTCCCCTTAAATTCAAATACACCATAATTCTTGCTGCGTTTCTTCTACAAAACATACTCTTAAAAATTCAAATACACCACAATTCTTGCTGCGTTTCCTCTAAAATATTGCATCTTCTTAGCTATGCCACATAAAAAGACCTAAGCACTGAATGCCGACCCAATCATCTCATCTTACATTTTAGAGAACCTTAGAAGACAGATAAACTAGACATGGCAAATTACAGAAGAATTAAACTGATATATGAATCTCTATCTAAGGGTAACTAATTATTTGAAGCAACAAGAACATTTAGGAATTCTCACATGATTAATTCTAATTGCCATAAAATTTCCACAAAAGGATTGCACACACAAAGAGCAGGTAAATTCAAATAACATTCAGATGATAAACCACAACGAAATATGAAATAAACCAATTTTCCAACAAATCAAGAATTCGAACATTAATAAGAAAACCAAATAGTACTGCGAAATGCAGCAAAAAGCCCTTCAGCTCTGTGGTACAAATCACAATAATCCTTGGGCATGATAAAAACAAAAAACCCTGTAACCAGCTAAACTAGTCCAAGAACCAAAACTGCAAATTTCAAACATAATATAAGCTGAAAATGGCTCCCCTAATCAAACAAACTGAATCCCATGTCATCATCACTCTCCTCCTTTGGCTCCTCCTGTACAAAATTTAAATCCAAAAAACATATGTCATTAGCTAAATCGATTCAACCATTGACCTGTTAAAATACACATTATAATGGACTTGAACTAATAGCTAGTAACACTTCAAACAGCATTGAAATGTAAACAAAAACACATGTCATTAGCTAAATCTATTCATCACATTGTACTGTTATACTTGACTTGAACTAATATCAAATTTAACTGCAAACAGCATTAAAATGTAAATATAAACAAATGTCATTAGTCTTAATTCTATTCATCACATTGCACTGTCAAGAAAACACGACGTTATACTGGACTTGAACTAATATCTGATTAAACTTCAAACACAATTAAAATGTAAACAATTTTGGTCTGTGATTTTACAGATCTGCAAACACAGAACAATCTTCTCCCACTCAACAACAAACAACCCAAACGAATTGATGAGTAAAGGGAACACTAGTCCGTACCTTCTTCTCCTCGGCGGCGGGAGCAGCTGCGCCAGCTGCGCCAGCCGAAGCGCCTGCCGGAGCAGCCACAGAGACGGCGGCGCCACCGCCGGATCCCACGTTCACGATGAGATCCTCGATGTTCTTCTTTTCGCAGAGCTTGGCAAATAGGCTCGGCCAGTACGACTCCACATTCAAATTCGCCGCCTTAACCAGAGTAGCGATTTTCTCCGCCTAAACGACAACAAAAGAGAAACAAACGTAAATCGAATCTCATCACTGCAATTACATGATTGAACATATATATATATATATACATATTTCAGAAGAACAGGAAATTACAGTGACGGCGATGCCATCGTCGTGGAGGATCAAAGAGGCGTAGGTGCAAGCAAGCTCTCCGGCAGACATTTTTCCCTTTCTGTGCGGCGGAGACGAAACGGAAATTCTCACGGTGCTCGTTCGGTCTGCTGCCCTGACTGTGACTCTGTAGGATTAGGGTTTTGCAGTGATATATATGGAGTTGGACGCCGAAAATTGTAAATGTGTCCTTGAGGCTCAGGGTGTAATCAAAACAGCCCCTCATCTTCTTGAAATTTTGAAAAAGCCCCTTTATTATTTTAGAATGTGTTTGGTAAGGGCTCATGACTTATTTGACCTTTTTGTACATATAAGTAAGTTTGAGTTATATTTGATAAACATAAGCTACTAATAATTGATAGCTTAAGAGTGAATTTCGAGCTTATGAATGATAACTTGTGGCTTATGGATGAGAAATTAGCTTACATTGTAAAAGCGTTAGTAAAATTTAACTAATAAACTAGCTGAAATAAAAATTTCAATTGTCTTATTTGAAAGGTTACCCAATTAAGCTTATGAGAAAGCTCGAGCTACCAAACCAAACTTATTTAAATACATAAAGCTTGTAAGTTAACTAACTAAGATATATGTTAGCCTATAGCGCTTACCAAATATACTCATGGTTTGATAAGTCAGACTTTTTCTTAAAAACTCAAGCTTATCTACATGTTTGGTAAAACTAATTGATAGTTGATAAGCTAACTTATAGTTTATAAGACTATGTTTGGTAGAGAAATGCTATGGAGCCAATGGTTGACTCCTTTATGGAGCCAACCACCAATGTTATAGTGCCACGTAGGCCATGTGGAGTTAATTATTTTTTCACATGGCTTACGTGACACTATAACATTGGTGGCTGACTCCATAGCATTTCTCATGTTTGGTATACCAAGCATAAATTATTTTATAGTTGGTAAGCGAGCTTATAGGTTTTAAGTGAATTTCGAGCTTTTAGTTTATAGTTTATGACTTATAGGTAAAAAACTAGCTTAGATGATAAAAATATTTGGTAAATTAGCTGATAAGCTAATTGAAAAAAAAATAAAAAAAAAATCAACGAGCTTATTTGAAAAGCTACTAAGAGAAGCTTATGAGACAAACTCGAGCTTTTTAAAAAGTTTGTCCTACCAAACGAAGTTTATTTGAATAGAGGAAGGTTATAAGCTAATAAAATAAGCTATAATATGGCTTATTTGGTTACCAAGCATAGCCTTAAGCTTTTTCAGGTAGCTTTTCGAATATGCACGTTAAAATTTTTACCAAATACATTAGCTAGTATTACCAACCAATTTTACCAATCGAGTTGCGCTGACGGCGACGCGGCGATTGCGAGCTCCATGAGGAAGTTGTCCACGGCGATACGGCGGAAGATACGGCTATGACGTATATCGAATAAGAGGAGTCATGAATAGCGGCATTGTCGTGCCGACGGTGGGACTCTTAGGTGGAGTTATCCATCGGTATCGGAGGAATTTGGGGATTTTTGGTGACGGATTTAGGGGAATTAGGGTTTTAATTAAATTGTTCATAATGATTTCTTTTTTTAAAAAAAAAAAAAAATCTTGAACTTTGATATACCGATTTTAGAAGGTTTGAAGTTTGAACATAAAGCGCTCTTTTCTAGCTGACTACTTCTAAATTTTGTGAATAACTACACGGATTTTCACATACCCTCAAATGATGTCAAAAAATATTCAATTTTTTTCTTACAAGTATGGGGCATGTGTTCCTCATCAAACGGATGAGTATGCCACCATACGGGTGGCTCTAATGAACCCCCTTGAAATGTATACTGGGCTTAAGGCCCAGTTCTCTGATAAAGATATTGCAATATTAAGTTTGTAGTAAGCCCAAATGAAAGGTTTTACAAGAATTTTAAAAATTAAAATAAACTTACAAAAAAAATTACATTTGAAGTTATTTCAATATTTGGTCTCAAATATTTTAGTTAATTGAATTTATAGGAAAAGTATTATTTATGCTAGCCATATATACACCCGTAAATTATAATGCTTAAGCAATGCGTAATGAGTCAAGCTTGAGCATTTGAACAATTCTTGTCCGTTCGTCTATTAATTGGATAAAAATTTTGTTCGTGCTGTTCGTCAAAGTTTAAGTTCGCTCGTTCTGAATAACTTAATGAACAAGCTTATTAAAATTGTTTGACTAACTCGAGATCATTTCGTTTGAGCTCGAAATGAAAAAATAATAATAAATAAATGAATAATAATGAAAAATAATAATTTATAACTTTTAATAAATATATTATAAATATAAATATAAAAATAGCAAAAATTATATTATATTATGTTTACGAACATTATCGAACGAGTTTGTGCACATTTGATTAACAATTGAATCTAATTTTTTTCTTTGATCTTGGCCAAATAAAATGACATGAGGTTGTATTGAACACGAATATATACGAACCAAATTTTATTTATTGTTGTTTTATTT